ATTAAAGGTTAGTTCATGTGTTGGGTGCCTGCAGCCATGCAGAAGATTTTTGTTCTTTGCTACAGGACCATTAATGCTTTGCACAGCAAGTCTTGGATGTCCTTGTTGTTTCTTTGTTGTTCTGCTGATTTCAGTGACATGCTTTAATCTTTGGTCTAATATCAGTGGCGGCTCCTGAAAAAAATCTCAGGGGGGGCAATTTTTATGATATCGACTAAAATGACCCATTTAATGAGTACATCAAACAACACAATTTTAATTTAAATTTAAAATGAACAACCATATTCTGGCCATTTGTATAGATTTGTAAAAATGAACAACCATATTCTGGCCATTTGTATAGATTTGTAAAAATGAACATGAACAGATTTTTTTTTTTTTTTTGAATGAATGAAAAATAACTATTGAAAACAACAACTGTAAACTGATTGGGGGGGTGGGCTAAATGCGTCCCCGCATTGCTAGCTCAAAAGCACCACAAAACTTAATACAATCGATGATTTTAGATAAAATATGACGGTTTTTATCTACCTCTTCGTTGTGCCTTCTTAAAGCAATCCGATGTCCATCATCTAGCTGCGCCGCTATGCTAGTTTTCCCTAGCACAGCTAGCTTTACACTGTTGTCCATATGAACTCGTGAGCTTTCATGTTTCTTGATTCGTTCGGAGAGGTGCTTTAAGTCGGTTTGTCCAGATTGTGTCCACGTCAAATCACACTTGTCACTTTTGAACAGTATGCACAGGAAACAAAAAAGTGCATTAGCTGTTCCACAGCCTGTCAGCCACGACTTGCGCTGGAACCAACTCCGACAAAAAGTCCTGTTGTATGCTTTTGACTTCTCCTTCGTTGCCTGGGTTAGTTGAATTTCGGGCTTGTCAGGTCCCAACTCTTTAACTTGCAGTTTTTCTGCCATTGTCCTTCTGGCAAAAGGGTAGGTTAGAAGCGATCTAACCGAATTTGGGGGAGGCTGTGCCTCAACCGTTAACAATACCGCTGCCATCGTCTCTCTCTGACCTTATAGCTCACTTAGGCTACTGACTGAGGTAAAATTCTAGAACAGCAAATCTTCGCGCGTTTTCTGCAGGGGCGCAATTTTAAGCGCCCCCAAACCATTTAATTCAGCGACGCTGATAGGTCAAATATTTATTATTTTCCCCTGGCAACCATTTAATGATAGGCTATTTCGCTGCATATCAAGGGCGCTTTGACGAGCGCCCCAGAAGAAGAAAAACACCGTTTGTTGGTTGAACTTTAATGAGTCAGCTGGTGAAAATGTTAAAATACGCCTGGCTGTATATGGGCACACACATAGTAAAACTATCATTGATGAATTTTTTAAAAATATATATTTTTACTCCTCCACATTTGGGGGGGCGGAGCCCGAGCGCCCCCTATGGGCCAGCCGCCACTGTCTAATATTCAAGTAAAAAGAAACTCTTAGATCACAGTAAGTTTAAAGGTTTCTGCCAGTTAGTCCGGGATGGGCAACTGTTTTTTTGTTTTGTGAGAGCAAATGAAAATGCAAATAGTTTATTCAGGTTGTACTTGCAGACCATGACATTCAAGGCTAGGAAGGTTAAAGTTCACATGTCACTGTCTCTGTATTCAAGCGGAAGACTGCTTTGAGTGAAATAACAATGACTAATGTGTTACTGATTGTTCATTCAAGAGTAAAGTTTTGAGAAAAGGGTCTTCTGGGATTGCCTGAGCTTAAGAGCCTTTACCTATCAGCTTGCACTTTCCTGTTTTTTAATGCCTTGACACAAAGATGTCTTACTTCTCCCGATGGAGCTCTGTGAACCATTATAAATCTTTCTATTAAAATAACATCACATGACTGAAATGCAACAAAGCTTTCTTTGCCATGTGAATCGGTTTGACAAAACAAGAAAGTGTGAAGCAGAGAAAAATATCAATAGGCAATAGCATTAATGGTGGAATGTGAATGCTAAAATAAGCTCAGAGGATAATTGTTTTTTCTTTATCTTTTCAGCACCAGCACTACTTTGTCTCTTTCCTTTGTGCTGGAAGATATACTGTGCAGTGTGTAGCGCTGAAGTTTGCTGGCAGGGTTTATTCATCTCTATAAAGTCTGGCCTCAGAGGGAGATACTTGGCACTAGAACAGAAAGTGGTCCTTTTCCCAGTAGCTTTGGGTGTGAGACGCTCTTATCTTAAAGGCTTTGTTGTTATTGTTTTATGGATTTAGTACCTCTTTTTTTTCCCCTCAGTCTCTTAAATATGTTTTTGTTTGTTATGCTATGTCCTTGTTTTTTGGACACTAAGTGAGTGACATCACTTAGTGACATTTGAATTTGGAGAATTTGAGATGGATAAAAAAAATCACCTGTAAAGAAACAATCAAGTCCAGACACTCAGCTTTAATTAGAGAGGCTGAACAACGATATTGCTTTGAACATTAAGGAATTACGGCCATTTATTTTTTTCAGGGACTCAAATGTGCATGGACAAATAACCCAAAAGCTGTTTTGTAGAGTATTGTGGGCTGTGTGTTTGCTATTCCCTCGACAGTAGAGTGTGTAGAGGTCTGCAGTTAATTTCCATTTAGAAAACCTTTGACCCAAAATGCAGAAAAAACTGAAGAAATCTATCAAAGTGATGGCGTGATCATTAGAGCAACAGCTTGGTGCATTCTGATGAGCTTGCCAACATAAAAATACATCCAGAGGAGGCAACAATCATAGATAAACTCAGGATTATTTCTTCTTCAAAGGGTTTGATTATTTTTTTAAAAAAAGAGGGGCTAATATTCACCTGGATTAAACACCACAAGCGGCAATAAATAATGTGCAACATTGTGCAAAAGTCTTGAGTCACCCCTAATTTCTATTTATTTTTATCCTAAGAAGCCACAGTTTTTTTTGAACATGGGTTGCTTTTTAACTAATTTTTAGTCCAGTCAATGTACTTGATCATTTTCAGAGGTTTTTGGTTTTTGTTTGTTAATTCACTAAACACTGACCTATGAATTATTCAGCACCTACCTGAAGTGATGAACCAGTTTTGTGTCTACACATAACAGATCAATTTTATGTTTGATATTTAATGCTTGATAAAATTGCTATTTTATGAAATATTAATTTTAAAATGTATAAAATAGTAGTTTTATGTATGTATATATGTTAGTGAAGGGAAACAGGGAAAAGAGGCATGCCAAGGTAGCTAAATTACTCAAGACTGAAAATCAGCAGCGACAGGGTTGATGGAGTGATGAATCCAAATAAGTACGTAGCAAGGACTTAAGGAGAGAGTGTCAGTGAACAGGGAGCATCTAAAGCCATGTGTCATGGCTGTCATGGTTTAATGATGCATTTTAGTCAGTGGTGTTGGAGATCGTCTCAAAATTGCTTGTATTAAAAACACAGAAAAGTACCATCAGAGTTTGATCCACCATGAAATGCCTTCTGGAAAGTGTCTGACTGGCTGCAGTTTCATTTTTCAGCTCAACAATGATCCCAAACATACTGCCAATGCAGTAAAAGAATACCTGAAAAACACACAAGAGCACACTGTCAGTCATGGATCGGCCTCCCCAGAGCCTGGACCTGCACATTATTGAAGCAGTGTGGGATTATACTGATAGAGAACAGAACAAAAGGCAGCCAACATCCAAATGAGAGCTTTCAATGTCCTTCAAGAAGCCTGGAGAACTATTCCTGAAGATACTTAAAGAAATTACAAGAAAGCTGCCTAAGAGAGTTCAAGCTGTGTTGAGGAATAGAAGAGGACATGAAAGCTAAACATTTAAAGCCTGTCCTTTTTAAAGTCATTACAACTGAACAAACTCTGTTGTTGCCTCATATACTGTATTTTAATGTACGTTTGCACATTTTCCTAGCAAATAAAAAGAGGTGAGGCTGTGGCTCAAGACATTTGCGCAGTACTGTAAATCTCTGGTTTAGGCTACTGTTACCAGTTACAGCTAACAAGAGCTTCTACTAGCCTGTTCTAATGTAGCCAAAGTCCAACAAGCCAACGTCATAACGGGCAAATTTTCCAGCGCATTAACCTCATGCCCAGAATTGTTTGGGTGTCAATAAACAGCGCGTGCCCGGCAGGTGTGCAACACTCTGGAGTATTTTTTTTCCTTTTCGGACACGTGATACTCCAGTGCAGTGGCTCCTGGTGCCTCTGCGCGTTCGCGTACCTCCTCGTGCCCTTCTCAGAGTGGGAAAAAGTGTCACGTGAGCGCGCGCTCCCATGTCTTACTGCACTCTCCACTGCCCCTCCCCTCAGCATCAGCATCAGCGTCCACAGCGAGAAAGTGCGACCTCGCGTTTGTGTCTTCGCACCTCACGTGACATAATAAATTCTACGTAATAAACCAGGCATTTTACGTAGTTTTTGGTCACACACAGAGGTAACCAGGCTCCTCTTGCATAGCGTATCTATACATGGCAGAGTGATCCTCATTTCCACATTTAAGTCGCTGTTATTTGCATGCTTGCACGACACTGCAGTGTAAATATTCACATTTGTTAATAAATGTGATGGATTAGGGTATTTGTCTGTCTACAGGCTGATTAAGTCCACAGGTTAGGGGAGATTAACTTTAAACTACACGATGTTACCATCTTTTTCTTTAATTAATGTGAAAAATTCTGCATTACAATTAATAAAGCTCATTCAAGCGGTGTTTATTTAGACCTAGATGAGCTTGGAAAATGTAATTGAAATCTCTTCATATCTGTGCTTGTTTTTCTTATGCTCACCAACAGGAGGTGAAAAGGTACTCCCCTTTTAATTCCTCTCCCCGGTGCTCCTTGTTTCCTAATCTCGCCCGTGCGTCCCTGTTTCCTCCCCACGGGACTCATTTAACTTTGATCTAATCAAATCTTATCTAATCTCGCTTTCTCTCGCCGCTCGCGCTTTCATTTTCTCTCTCTCACAGCCGCCGTGGCCGTGCGGCACGCTCCCGTCATCACGTCAGGAGGAGGCAGCCTGCTGGTGCTGAAACTGACGAGGATGAGGACGATGATGGCGGTGACGGAGGAACAGCGCTGAGTTCGCTCCGCTCAGTTTTCTCTCACTTCTTCTCCCTCCTTCTTAGTTCTTTTTGTTTTGACTGCATAAGTAAAACACAAAACGTAGCGATACAAAAAAGCGACACCGCCGATTTGACCTAATACCTTTCTCCACACCCCTCCCGTCTCCTGAGTCGAGACCGAGATGGGGAACGAAGCGAGCATGGAGGGCGGCGGGCAGCCCGGGGAGCCGGGATCCGCTGGGATGATGGGGTCGATGATGCCTGGAGGACCCTCGCAGGGACCAGGACAGCACATGAAGCCGGTCAACGGAGCAGCTGCCGGTGGAGGAATGGGAATGGGAGGCCCCGGGATGGGAATGACAAGGTAGGAGCAGCAGGAGCAGCAGCACTGGGTGAAGTGCTCAGGGTAGCAGCGCATCTCCGAATTTGCGCCGTAACACGGAAACAGCTGATGGACAGCAGCAGAGCAGATGCCGTCTTGATTGCGATTGTTTTTTGTTTTTTTTACAGGGATGGGATTACGTGGGTGTTAAAAAGTGTTTCACCACTCTTGTGGATTTGGGATTTTAAAGAGGAAATGCTCAGAGTGTAAGGGGTGAAATAAAATAATAAAATAAATAAAAGAATCACTGAGCTGTCCGCGGTGCTGAACACTACGAGCTGCACTGAATGGCTCTTTTTGTAAGGTAGACTGATTTCCACAAATAGGTTTGACATTGCGTGTTAAACCACCTTACGACGGCCGTGCCCCTCTGGTCTGTGTGACCGCTTGTCACCAAGAATGAGATAATTTTATTCCGCGGTGTCATGTGCTGCCCTAATAGTATTTCCTCGTTCTTGGCTCGGGTTGTGCTTTGGCGTAGTGTATTGCACGAGGCATGTTTATTCGCTCTTCCCTCCTAATTATTGTGTAATTCAGAGGCTGCGTGGTTTCATTTACGAGGCGTGCCAGTGTCACGTCTTGGTGTTTTACGTTGGAGACGGGATGCAGCTGGGTGCTCGAAGCGTCTTCATTGCCTCGCTTGTTTCCGCATGGGCGAAGGGAGTATGCCGAATGTGTGTGAGTGTGTGCGGGGCTCGTGCATGTGTGCGTGTACGTTAAGGGGCTTGCCTTTCTATGTAGGCGTGTGTTTGATGATGCGTAGTATAGCCTACTGGTACTATGAGCAGCCCCACCGTTTCTCACAGAGTCGGTGCTTCTTATCTTACCCAACCAAATCAAATCATAAGCACGTCCAGATCATGTCCTGGGCAGATGTGCAGTATTGACTTCACTAGATTTTCTACTCAGGGCTTCAGCTGGTTAATGTAAGGATATTGTGTGTGTGACAAGTTTTTGAAATGCCATGTCTGTGGACAGTGGGAGGAAGCAAAAGGTCCCAGATGACCAGCGGGTTCAAAAGCCAGAACCTTCTTGCTGTTAGGTGATAGCATTAATCACTGCATCACAGTGCATGCCTGAATGAAATATATATCTGAGTGCAGCGGATATATTTAGATTACATTCGACAGAGAGCCTAAGCAAAGTTAAATCTAGCCTCTTGGATGAAAACACATAATCTTGTGTCCTAGTTCAGCATACTGTAGATCTTCTACATAATAATGACGCCATAAAACATCTATAGCATGCGATAGCAGTGCTCAAACACACCCCATATGTTACCTAATCTGTCTGTGCTTTACTTACTACCAGATGAAAAATGATGGACCAGTAATATCTGATTCTGTGACACATTGTTCTCACATAACACGATGCGATTGGCTGAGCAAAAACAGATTTTTTACATTCCTTTGTTTTTGCCACCATCCAGGAATCCCAACTTACTGTATCACCTCATCCATAAAAACCCTTCTGCAGACAAGCGAGTGCACAGAGACCTAATCAGGTTGACACTCTGTGGATATAGTCCCCGACTATAGGGCTGCAGCTGGTCTACACACACACACACGCACACTGGGATCTGTGTGTGCAGGTTCTATTTAGGACACATCCTGGGTTTGATTCATGTCTCTATAGGAGAGGAAAGCAGAGAAGTGCAGGCCTAACTATCCTTATATAACGCAGGGACTCAGAGAGCAGATGACAGCTTCAGCTCGTTTCCGACAAATGACAACAGAGCTGAACGTGCTCTGATGTGTTACTGGTGCATTACACTACTTTAGGGAGTTTGCTGTGATGTCGTGCATCCTCTGCCTCTTTTATGCATTTTCTGCTGATTTTGGATTTCAGGCCTCCTGCCCACATTTTCAAAATCACTCTATATAAAAGGCCTTTTTTCCTTTTCTTTTTTGCATGCTGCGCCTCACATTAAGTATTTATAACAGCGTAATACAAGGCCATGTGAACAGATTGAATCACGTGTTTGCTCACCCCCGCCCTCTCACTCACACACACTCTCTCTCACACTTCCCTCCCTCTCCTGCGCTGCTTTGCCTCACTGCCTGCTCCCATAACTCTCTCTCTCTCTATCTCTTTCTCTCTCGCTCCATCTCCTCTGCACACTTGCATGCTTTGATCCCTTTCCCCCCTTTTCTCCTCCTCTCCCTCTTTCTTTATATTTGTTGTGCTCTCCACCGTTTGCATACTTGCATCTTTTAAATAGAAAAAAGGGTGCTGTCCTCTCTTATCATCCTTCCTTCTCCTACTGCTTCTGCCCCTCTGTTGCATATGTCTATATTTTTCATTCCGTCTCTGTAATTTCACATGATTACAGATTATTTCTCACTTCCCCTCACTTTTCAAACTGGTATACTCCTCAGTTCTCTTATTTATTTATTTTTTTGTAAAGCAGAAAGGCAAAGGAATATATCTTAATTCTCTTTCCTGCCATGTCTGGCCACTGTAAGATTTAGCAAAAGTTAAGCAAACAGGAGAAAAAAGTACCTTTTTAAAGCTATTTTCAGCTATCTTTTAGTCTATTTAAGGTAGCAGGACTGTGTAAGTAGGACAGACTAAAAATAAACTACATGTGGCTATGTAATTGTGCTGGTCTTTGGATGTTTGGTTGGGTTTTTGTTGTTGTTGTTGTTTGTTTTTGCTAGTTTTGGGACAGAAATTAAGCTTTTTTAAGTCTTGGTCTTTTCACAAAATGCATTACCCTTTCACTTATCATACTCCATCATAAAATAGGAACAAGAGTGTTTTTTTTTATCTTTCAGTGCATTTTTGTTGTTGTGCACACATGCTGCCCTTTTCCTCTTCTGACTAAACACCTTCCCCTCTATCCTCTCTTTTACTTCTCCCTTTTTAAACCACCAGCCTATAAATGACTCTGTCCCTTCTTTCCCGGTCCAGATAAGGAGAGAAAGATACTGAGACTAAGTGGACAGAACACACACACACACACACACACACACACACACACACACACACACACACACACACACACACACACACACACACACACACACACACACACACACACACACTATCTATCTATCTATCTATCTCTCTATCTATAGATAGATATACAGAGGCTAAAGGAAGCAAAAGACTGTGATAAATTCAAAATGTAATGTCCTCCAATCAGCAATATAAACACAACGTATAATAACATGTTAAGCAGTCGACCATTTGATTAGGAGTAAAACCTGTAAATTACTACTTCAATAGGCTTCACTTCACTTGCTTTAAAATGACAGATTCGCATTAGAATAAGTGGGAGGCTAAACTAATTTCTTTATTGATTTCAGATGTCTGGACCTGACTATGAATAACTGGTACATTAGTTGCACTTTTCAATGGCAGTGAGGTTAAAGAACAAAAATCACTTCATAAAGACAAAGAAAGACTTGTGCTCCACTCTCCAATGCTGCACAATGTTTTTGTCCATTATCATGGTCTCCATGTCAGATTGTAGAGTCATAAAATGTTGCCTTTTTCTTTCTCTCCAATCAATGTTATTTGCTGACTTTTATGGCATGTGTGATGCCACTGGTTAGGAGGTTTAAAATTCCCTGCGTTCATCCCTGAGTAATAGGATACATCCTGCGATCACCAAAATTTACTTACTTTTTCACATTAATAATCACTATTGCCATTGGAGGACTTTGACAGATGGATGTCACTTAAGATAACTTGCTGAAATAAGAGATGGCATCACATGTCTAGAGAGGACACTCTCAAACAGATTTGTGCACACCGTTTTCATGAGAATATAACATATCAGTCACAAAGCCAGTATAAGGAAGGCTTAAATACAAAATTAAAATGATAGTACATTAAAAAAAAATGCAAATCTGTATCCCCGGATAGCTGATAATTCTGCAGTGTTGCATTTTAAATAAAGTAAATTAGAATAGAGTGAAAAAAGGAATGTGTCAAAGATATGAAATGAAAAAGTGCCACAGAGTGAGACAAAAAGGGGGATGGGTTTTGCTGTCCAGATGGCAAAAGGAAGAGGAGTGCGAGAACTCAGTAAAGACACTGAAGAAGAGAGAGAACGTGAGATCTAAAGCACATATGGAACAGACCATTGCCTTGCTGTGGGATCACGTGTTCATATTGCATCTGACTCAACTCACACTCATGTTTTGGCTGCGATGTGTATGCATTTATTTTAAGTGTGTGCTGTGCATGACTACATCAGTGTTTTGTGTATATATGCAGTAACTGTTAAGAGCACTGGCAGTCATCAAAATTGATTCTCTTTCAACACTTATTAAGACCTGTGAAAGTGAGGAAAAAGTGGGAGCAAGACTGTGTGTGTACTTGTTGTGTGTGCGTTTGTGTGTACACTGGAGGGAGAAAGAGTCTGTGAACACTGTTGTATTTTTACTTTCTCTGGAACATGCGCACTTGAGGATAATTGTCATTTTTAAGAGAGTCACAAATGTAAGATGTGTTTGCATGTGTATGTGTCTTTTTTTCACCAGAAAAGCAACATTGGCATGTTAAGTGTGAATGTAAAGCATATTTAACTTTAATATTAAAGTTTTTTGCTGCTCAGAGTAACATGATTATATTCACACATAAGCACAGGAACAAGTGCTGATATGATTTTGTTTCTGATCAGTAGACTGATTAAAGACTGACTTTAAGTCTTTTGTTGGTGAGGGTAAAATCGATGTTTGATGATGATTAGAGCCTGGCTATTAGCCTATATATCTGTATCAGTATTTTTTAATTGCCAATAAATGAAAATTAAAAAAATTAATGATGAAATGGGAGAAACACCCTTTGATTATGTTATGGGGTTTGAGGTTGCAGAGTTTGCCCTTCGGAAGTCATTTCGCAGCTTCTCCAAAGGCAACATTTGTTTGTCACAAAACAACAACCAGCTGTTCAGAGCAGTTAGGCACACCATACATGAGTAGTCTATGACCTGCCTACCTCCAAGCCATCATATAGATCCTCTTTCTTTT